AGCCGCTGAAGAGCTGCGGCACCGCAGCCGCCCTAGGACACCATAGGGGTTGTCACGCCAAGGAGTTTCTGGACCTCCTCGGATTTGCACGACGGCCCGTTGTCCGTGGCGTTAGGAAGCGTAGTCTCTCCTGGCGGCCAAATCGACAGGAAGGACTCCCCAGAATACCCGGGGAGTAGACGAAGGGGTGCCCCGGGACACTCCTGCCAAACGTCAGCCACCGTGGGGTTTTAGTCGGTTTGAGTCCGACACTACCCCGTTGCCTTCCAGAGGGCGGCAAGGTGTTCGAAAGGATTTCCCACGATAAAAAAAAAGGAAAAAAGGATAGTCAAATCATCCTAATAATTTAGGTTAACATAAAATTATTTTATTGATGTATAAAACAGCGAGAACATTTAAAATATGTAAATTTACACACCATGATTATTTATTTAGATACTTATCTATGTTGAGAATTGTGGATCTTTGAGGCCGAAATAATGTTATAGGAACACTAAATTTATACTGAGGATTAATATTAAAACAATGATATATTTATTTCATGGACGATTCCTTATATATTCATCGATACACACTTGCACGCGTCTCAGCACTTTCTTCTATACCCGACTGTAAACCGACTCTTCGACGACCCTTAACCGACCCTTCGACAGACCTTAACCGACTGAAGCATTTACACTCATCTGTTTTCGAAACGCTTCGGACACACATATTTCCACACACTGATATTCACATACAAGTATCTCTACTACGCATTTAACCTAGTCCAGCACAGAAAATTATACATATCTCAACAATCTAACTGGATTGGCCCAGTTACTCCCCATAGATTGGCCCCATCTTCTTTTGTACGTACATACATGGTACTGGTGACGCCAAGTACATATAAGTATATACAATTTGTAGCATCAAACAAGTATAAACATAAAAAGTGAGCTGCAGATTCTTTGGATAACTAATCGCCTCGAAAAACTTCAAGTAAGTCAGGTTTGAAAACTAATATAGGACCGTCAAAGAAATCAATTTTGTTGGCAAGGTGAGACAATCTGAATGTTCAGACATCAGTGTGCCTACCTCAGTATACTCAGCTCACTGATAGATGATGTAGCTACGGACTCAAAAGAAAACACCACAACTCATATCGTTAAAACCACCACCGATCTATATTGATGCCCAAATAATAGATCCCCTTACTGAGCTATTAAGGCTTATTGCCTTATTAAACAACATTGGCGGAAAAGGAAACCACGATATAAGGGGGCATTCTAGTCTACAAAATTGAAAGAATCGAAAACATTTTTTTCATATTTCCAAAGTTTAGACATTCAAGAATATGCCCTTAAAAGGATTTTTCAAAATTTCAATTATTTTATGAGTTACAGTCATTTTTGTGACGCGGCATCTGCTCCGGTCCGACCTTACAAATGAGCAATAGACGGTAGACGCTGCCCGAGTACCTACGTATGAAAACCCTCATAAAATCTTTACTGTATTTTATCCCTTTTTAATGTATTTTTAATTCAAGGCCATAGAAACGTATTTTGTCGGAATCTTTTTGTCTTAGTATTTATTTCAAGTTAGTTTTGAGCCAGCTTTCAAGCAACGTGTACGTACTAACTCTGACAAGGTTTTATAAATATTTAAAATAAAATTGTTTTATATATTGAGATTTTAAAGTAAAATGGATAAAAAACATTTCAAATTCAGCTATAAACGGGCATGCAGACCGAAGAAGACGGCACTATTGCCGTCCTCCTCTAAATGACGACGTTTTAAAAGTAATAAAACCAATTTATGAAAGCTAATTAACTGATACTTTATTGCAACGATGATTGGGTTCTGAAACCCAAAATAATAATGAATCGTTAAATTCGTTAATATGGATTTTTGCTCCGAAGCATATCCATGCAGGAACGCAGACAATTCTAATTTCCACTTTCCTCGCAGTATGTATGTTTAATGAAGGTCTTATACCCATATTAAAAATCTTACGTGTCATTGGAATCATGATTGGTCCAGAAGCTCATACGTTCGCAGTTAGGCGAGGCGAAATTCGCATCGAGCGCTCTAAACTCCGAGCTTCAGAGGCATCAAAGGAAGCCAGGACTGCTCGTCTCCATAAAAGAACTTCGGAGAATAAGCATTTTGAAGTTGAGGAAGGTCTCTTGTATGGAGCAGGAATCTCCGATTAAAAATATGTGAGTATGATGAACCATTCTATGAGTAAAATTGCCGAAAACTTGTCTCAAAACTTTAAACGCGTTTTTCGCGAAACTACTTTTTCGAGATGGCGTGCACGATATCTCACGTTCTAATGAACTTATTTATTTGAAATTTGGTATGAATATTCTTTATACATTCCTCTATCGTCTCAACCACGCTCGGATCAAAATTTTTAATTTTACTATTTTGTAAACATTCGGAATTGTTAAAAAAAACATGCGAAACAAGAAACTTTCTTTCAAACGGCCGCCATTTTGTGAAAAAATGTTGCTTTGACTTTTCCAAGGTTCATGCTATAGCGGCATCTATGCTAATTAAGAATCCGTTCGGATTTTTTGTTTTAGATGACCAGAAGGGTAGAAATCATGTACGCCAGGACACCCTTTTCTTGGCACCACCCATTTTGCCAGCTTATAACTTTGTGAATTTTGAGTTTTTCGGTGAATTCTTTACGTAATCTTAAAATATCAATAAACAAATGCTAAAAAAGGATAGCAAAAATATTTTTGTTTCGTTTGCACAAAGCTTCAAAAATCGCCCGAAATTCATGCCTCTAGACTAGAATACCCCCATAAAGCAATTAAAAATGACACAAGAATTAAAGGAAAAGAAAACGCTGGGTATCATACATACAAGCTCAAAACAGAAAAGAGCTACAAAGTAGTAATTAGAGGACTACACCCAAGAACAAACACAAAAAATATATGTCGGAGATGAAAGGACATCGGAGCCTTCCCTTTGGAACTTCGGGAAAATCCCTTAACACTGGAATCTAGATTCTATCTTAGGCGTAATTAAACAATTGTCGTCCTTCGATCCGATTGTATTTGTTCGAGATTTCTGATAATGAGCTTGGGCTCGAGGCGACAGCCAGTCGCCGAACGTAACCGCGGTCACGAGATGAGCGCTTTTCCTAACAAAGCTTTGTCTAGCGCAACACAAACTTAAACTAGAACTCTTCCTAAAACACCAGCCAATCGACGTAATGCTCGTATCAGAAACCCACTTCTCCGACAAAAACTACCGGAAAATAAATGGTTACAAATTCTACCATACCCAACACTCCAGCGGAAAGGCCCACGGTGGCATCGGAATAATAATCAACGCAAGTATTAAGCACTACGAACTTCCATCATTCCAGAAAGACTACCTCCAAGCAACAAACGTAGCAATAGAAGACTGTCATGGCACAATCACCACCTCAGCAGTATACTGCCCTCCCAGACACTCCATCGCCAAAGAAGACTTTGATAACTTCCTGGACATCCTGGGCAATAGATTCATAGCTGGAGGAGACTATAACGCCAAGCACATCCAATGGGGCAGCAGACTGGTTACAGCAAGAGGCAAAATCCTCTTAAACAGCATAATAAACAACAAACTCAACTACCTGACCACATACGAACCCATATACTGGCCCACTGACACCAACAAAATACCCGACCTTCTCGACTTCTTCGTAACTAAAAATATCTCATCAAGACACGTCCAAATCAACTCCTCGGCTGATCTCTCCTCTGATCATTCCCCCGTAATAGTAACAGTCAGTTCATCGAGAATACACCTAACGGCTCCATTCACAACCAACACGCCAACTGGCAGCTCTTTAGAGAAGTCTTTTCACACTCAACTTCAGCCTTAACTCCACTAAAAACTAAGGAAGAAATCGAAGCAGCCACGGAATACTTAAACACGAGCATAATAAACGCCAC